TTGTAATTTTGTTTTCCATTCATGTTTTAACTTTGTAAAATGAACTTTTAGACACAAGAGAACATTTTGATGATGATCGTTTCTGTTTGAGCGAGACTATTATCATTATTATCGTTCAAATTGCAGATGCCAACTATTCATAGTTTGGTAAATTGGATATTGCCGTGTTCAATTTTTTACTAGCTCATTAAAACTACTTGGTTATTAAAAAATGTCTCCCAGCTTATGTACTCGTATTGATGTGACATTATTTGCAACACTGATATACAGCGTGACCTTGACCTTCACCTCCAAAGTTAATTCATGATCAACTATAGGTTTTCAAATAAAAACCCCTATTTTTGATGTCGGCAATCATCAGAACAAAAAATTTTACGTTCAAGCACATTCAAAGTTCAAGGTCAGGATGACTACTAAAGGTCAAATGAAGATCAAATGTGTGCCGCTAGGAAAACCTCTGTAAGTCTGACGGGGTGAGTGATAAAAATAACTATCAAGGTCAGGCCTTTGGTAAATTTTAACGAGAAAGTGAAGTCTGACCTTGGATTTGACCTTGACCTTCGCTTTCAAGGTTTTTACAAAGTCAACTTAATTTTTTTTAATGAAAACTCCATATTTGATGGCGGCAATGGAAAGACGGAAATTTTGACGTTCAAATACGGACTGAATTCCAAGGGTGTCTGAAGGACAGGTGTGTGCTTCTAGGGAAACCTCGATAAATCTCACAGGACTAGTAAAAAACAACTATCAAGGTCAGTTATTTATAACATTTTAACGAGAGATTGAACGGTGATCTTGTATTCCACCTTGATCTTCACCTTTAAGGTCATTTCAAGTTCAACTTCATGTTTTAATGGAAATCCCTATTTTTGAAATGGAGGTCAAATGCTAGGAAAACCACTATGAATGAGTGATAAAAATAACTATCAAGTTCAGGTCTTTGGCAAGTTTTAACGAGGTTGTGAACGCTGACCTTGGATTTGACCTTGACCTTCACTTTCAAGGTTTTTACAAAGCCAACTTCATTTTTTCAATGAAAATCCCATATTTGATGCAGGCAATCGAAAATTTTACTTTCAAATACGAATTGAAGTTCAAGGGTGTCATCTGAAGGTCAAGTGTGTGCTTTTAGCAAAACCTCTATAAATCTCACAGGGTTAGTAATGAAAATAACTATCAAGGTCAGGTCTTTGGTAAATTTTAACGAAGGAGTGAACAGTGACCTTCAAGGTGATTTCATGTTCAAATGTATATTAGAATTCAAGGTCAAGGTGGCCACTAGAGGTCATATAAAGGCCAAATGTGTTATTCTAGGAAAATTTTAAACATGGAACAGATATATTCAGTGTCGCAATTATAAAATTAGTCAAGATGAAAGTTCCATACACAGCTTTAAAATGTTTCCGTAATAGAAAAAAAACAATATTCAGTTGCTGGAATTACTGGAGATGAGAGTAACATGCTGCTGACCCACTTTCAGACACATTGTGCTATATCAGTAGTGATATCATATGTACCAATTTACTAAGAGATCAATCTAACCCATTTTCCATAAAAGTCATCATATACACTAACCATAAATACTATGTAAGTGTTCAGATGAACACACTGTATAGTAGCAAAAAAAAAGAAAAAACAAATAAATTGTTAACCGGAAGACCCATACTTGAATATGGTCAAGACATTGGCACTGAATCGTTGCTTGAATGTTTGATTTCCTCGGGAGTATCACAAGGCTCAGTACTTGGACCACTTTTCGTATTGTATATATTTGATTTAAACAAAATTGTACAGTACTGAAATATCCAATTTTTTGCAGACAATTAACAACTATATTGTAGTTTTGAACACAGAAATATGAGTACTGCTCAGTTGAATCTGTCTAAATCTTAAGTATTAATTTGTTCTCCTAAAGCACTTTTTTTTCTCCCGATTCTCTGCGTGTATATTACCTAGACAGTGATATTTGATTCCTCTGTATGGTGCCCCTATTTTGCAAAAGACAGAGATACTTGAAAGAGTTCAGAGAGAGTGGCTGAATTGAAACATTTACCATATTTAAACAAAACTAAAAATTCAAGCTTCAAGCTTTAGCAGAATCACCATGGGTGACCTCATATATAATAAAGAAACATAAATGCAATATACAAATCTTCATATCAACTTAATGGGCGTCAATATAACTTATGTGAGGAAGGGGTTCCAAAGTACTAATGAGAAACTTTTTATCAAATCCTGTTTAAAAACTATCTGGGTCTAGATGCGGAAATGACAAAATGGCAGTGTAATATTTAATTATAACTTTTGTTATACAGGGTGTCCGCAAAGTTGGGGTTTTCTTTTACACGACGTGTAGATCTTGAAAACATAAGCAATTTTTCTTAGTACCATATACACCAATGTCTTAAGGGAACCGAGATAAAGGGCTCTGCAACATCAAAAATATCTGAATACCGTCCTGTAGCCGCGACATCCCCGAGTGGTACTAGGACACTAGCTCAACCGGACGACAGAACTGAGTCGGGGTCAGTGTGTCAGGTCAGTATGCAACCTTCAACCGACGGTTACGGTCACGCGTGTAGAGGTAATCGCGTAGACGAGAATCACTCAACAAGCACTAGAGACGTGGCTAGAGAATTGCAAGTATCAAAAACTAAAGTGTGGCAAACGCTGCGTGAAGAGGGGCTGTATCCGTTTCACGTCCAACGTGTACAAGCCCTTCAACCTGACGATTTTCCAGCAAGAGTGCGGTTTTGTGAGTGGTTGTTGCATCAACATGACAATAATCCGGACTTTTTGAAGTGCATATTGGTGACAGACGAATCTACGTTCACGCGTAATGGGGTGAATAACTTTCGCAACACTCATGTTTGGTCAGGAGAAAATCCGCACGCTGTCCGTCGGGCACATTTTCAACAAACATTTTCGGTGAATGATTGGGCTTGCATGGTGAACGGTATGCTCATTGGACCATTTATTCTCCCAAATCGATCGGACGGGATGCAATACCTAGACTCTTTACGCAACATTTTGCCTTCCTTGTTTGCCTGCGTCTGCTCGGTAGCGCATCAGCTGATTTCATTTTCTGTTGGAGCGGTATGATTTCGGGCAGAGACGTACTTAGCCCTTCTCGTCAACTGGAGAGTGAGTACTTTTTCCTTTATTTTTTTTTACTTGGTCGCCCTCGTTTCACTACACATTACCTTTGTTATTTCAAGGGTAGTTGTTTCTGAAAAGGAAAACCCCAACTTTGCGGACACCCTGTATAATAGCACTTGTAACATTGGGCATTGTCTGCTTACTATTATATTTTCAAGAAATATATTAATTTTGTCATAAATTTGTACTTTGGGTCTGTGGCAGCCAAAAAAAGTAATTGTGGGTATTATCATCATCATATCAAACCGAAGGATTTTTTGCATTAAAATTAACAAATGTTTTGTTCAATTTGATTTGAAACAATATTTAATCAACATATATCTGCTATTGTCAAGTTCTAAACATAAATGGTACTTATAAAAACAAGTATCTTCAGACTGATACAGCAGACAAAAGTTTGTAAACAAATATTAACATTATCATGAACACGCGTTTTTTTAATTACCAGTTTATGTAAAAACAAAAGTATGGAAACATTTCAGTTTTGCCGTATTTATTTATTCTGCGATACCCTGATATTGCGTGCGTGAGAAAGGCAAAAGTAAAAGAATTTTCAAAAGATTTAAGAGATAAAGTAAATGAATTATCTGGAAGTGGTGTCAGAAATGGTGATATTTCTCAACGATTGAAAATGATCAAAGGGACGATTTCGAAAATTATTAATAAATATCAAAAAACGATTATGTCTTCGATCGCTACATTAAATGTTTGTCCTGTAAAGATCCTCGAATACGAGCCACACAGATTTTCAAAAGAATCGTAGAAGAGGGTGCCGAGAATCTTTCTATCAAAACAATGCACAGACGCTTGGTCAATTTTGGGCTTTTTGGTAGGCATCCAGTGCAAAAGCCTCAACTCTCAAAAAAAGCTGATTGCTCAGCTTGTATTTGCTAAAACTCATCTAACTTGGACAGAACAACAATGGAATACCGTTTTATGGAGCGATGAAAGCAAATTTAACTTGTTTGTAACTGACAGTATCAAGGATTGGATAAAAAGTATCAAATGACAACATTTAAGCACAATGGAGGCAACATGATGGTTTGGGGCTGTTTTTCTAGTTCTGGAAGGGGTCCAACTGTTAAAATGAATAAAAAACTTTACAAAGATATTCTTAGTGAACACAAGTCCTTTTGCTGAAGAAGAAATGCCTTTCCAGCAAGATCATAATCCCAACCATACGTCAAACTTCGTAAAGAACTGGTTAAGACTAAAAAATGTTAATGTTCTCACATGGCCTTCACCATCCCCAGACCTAAACCCTATAGAACATCTCTGGGAGCATGTTGAAAAACAACTGGCAAGAAAAACTTTTGAAAATAGGAACGATTTATTTAATAATGTAAAAAATATTTGGTGAAATATCCCAACAGACATCTGTAAAAAATTGGTGTCTTCAATGAGCAGCTGATGTCAGGCAGTGTAAGGTAAGGCTATGCTACCAAATATTAGCTAAACAGTATTTTTTTTTGCAGAGTTAATTTAATGTAATAAAAAATATGTTTCCATGCTTTTGTTATCTCATTTTTGGTAATAAAATAATATGAAGGTATTTCAATGATTGTCTGTACAACAAACAGAAATTGATATTTGTATCCTCAAGACTGGATGCAAACTATATGAGAAAAAAAAGAGTCCTAAATGACAAAGAATAAAAAATTAGCGCACTTTTTAAAACACCAAGAATGTTTCCAAACTTTTGTCCGCTACTGTATTTGAGCAAATCAGAAGATAATGAACGGGGCACATTTCAGCTACAGTGAGTTTTATAAATTACAGCAAACACCATATGACATCACGTTAATATAGCACAAAAGTGACAAAAGCAAAAAAAGACTCACCTATCCACATCCGCATTGGGCAGCTCATCAGGCTTGATGTCCACTTCTTCATTCAGCTGTGTAGTGTCCATCTCTTCTTTCTTGATGCTGGTGTCTAGTTCATCTCCAGGTTCCACCTTAACTCCAACTGCTGTCAGGTCCCCTAGTTCCACCTTATCAGGAATGTCTACTGTTGGGTTTAGCTCGTCCCATTCTTCTGGGTCAGGCTCTTTTTTTATCCTGCAACAAAAAAGAGATTCGTTGTTATAGAAAAGCATCAGTAGATGATGGAATTATATTACCTATCTAATATATCACATGATGCCTGATCTCCTAAATCACTTTCTTGCTTAATCACTTTTTCTTTCTTGATAGGTTTGGAACCACTAGCTTCATTATTGTCTATTTCCATATGAACAGCTGAAGAAGAGCCAACCCAGGTATGTACTTCCTCAAACCCAACGCTGAAAGTAAAAATATTGACAAAGTCACACAAAATGTTAAAAAAATAAAATGAAAACTGATTCATTTATGGAGATTTATCATGTACTAGTACCACTACTCAGCGAAGATGGAGAGTTTTGGCATCTACTGTTCAAAACAGGGGTATGAAAGGCACTTAGTAAATATTTTTTTTAAATAATTTTCCATTACAAAAAACATCTCACATATTTAGGGTGACCATATGTACTTTTCTTAGTAGGACAGTACTTTCTTGTCAAACTCTGTACTACTGGCCTGTAAATGCTTATCAAGTACACTTAATCTAGTTTTTTTTAATAAAAAAAAAATGGAGAGAAATATTTCTACTGAAGAGCGATGGCTCAAAGTTTTCCAAACCAGAAAATGCACTGAAAAATCTGAAAAATTTATGAGAGTTTGTGTTTTGTATGCCTGGGACCAGTGCATCAATTGAGATGTTATTCTCAAATGTTAATAATTATTGGAGTTCTGGAAAATCGCAGTAGAAGACATCTACTCTGGAACCCACTATGCAAGTCTACACAAACTTTAATAATAATTGCATTGGAATGTTTTATTTTCTAAAGGGTAAACAACAACTTTTTAAGGTAATTCATAGTTCCCAAAAGTACGACCAAAATTTTACTTTAAAAGTGTTACGTACATATTTTTTTAAAAATCTTTTGTTATATCGTTGCTGCATCTGTATTATAATAAAATATAAATACCTTTATTTTTTTTTATTAAAAATGTGTTAGATTTAGACAAAATATTGCTCCAAGTATCAGTGGTGATTTTCCTTAAAAGAATACTTTTTTTGTTTAAAAATTATGGTCACCCTACACATACTTGGGGTTGCTTTTAAAATTATTAATAAAATGAAGATCCAGTTTTTTTAATTTTACCATTTTGCACGAATATGATAATTTTTTGGCATCAACAAAGTAGTAAAATGATCGTTCTTTCGGGACAAAAGGGTTTTTTGAGATGGGGACTCTCTATTGATCTGAAAGCATAAGCATCATATAGTTTACATGCCAATAATATGCGAGGAGAGATACACGTTTGTAGGAACATACCTATCATCATTAGTTTCATCGTCTAGATCTGGTTTCTCGAGTTTTATGCTTGTTGAAGCCCCTGCTTCGTCGTTTTCCTCTTTGATTTTCGTTGTTGGGTAGGTTGAATCCATCTTGAAATCGTAAGAGGTAGAGGCAGTCTGTTGTTTGCAAATAAAACGCACGCAAGGGCGATTTCCGGAACATATAACTTATAAAAAACTATAGTTTATAGCGTATTATAGTGGTATACTAAAGTTTGTAACAAAATTCAACTTAAAACCACACCGGAGACGCCGAGAACACAAAAAATCACCGGAAACGGGAAGATCGCGACGCCATTTCGTTTGCGTCTTCCGCGAAGCTAGGGATGGGCAAAAATAACTGTTTTTTTCCAGATTGATTGGTCGATTTTAACCGGTTATTTCATAATGTACGGTTAACCGGTCATCGGTTAAAAAAAAAACAAATAACCGGAAGGATGGTATTTCTTTTTCTATCTACACAAATCTCAGTAAATACGAGTGCAGTGAATATTACGGCTGTGTGTTATTTTTCTTGTACGTGACCACCTTTCCAACGCCCCGCCCCATATTCGCGTATTAAAAAAAGCTGTACCGAAACGCGTTCTAATACATGTTCTGTGGTCACTAAGCCCCTTTTTTTATGCCACGGTTTACGACAAGACTTGTCGTTTGACAGATGCCAACGTCACACTTCCCGCATTTACATTATACGTTCTATTACTTGAACTGAATTATCAAGGAAATTGTAAGGAAGCTGTAAGCCTGTACGTAAATGCCGTTCCGAGTACGTTTATACGGTGTAATGCGCTATCTAGGCGCTTGGCTAGCACGGGTGTAAACATGTAAATTATTGTTGGATTAAATAAAAAAGTTATTTTACGGTCGAGCGTATAACCGGTTAAATTTGGTTCAGTTAACCGGCACGAGTATAATGTAAAAAACCTATAAAACGTCAAAAAAACCTATAAGATGTCATATTGCAAGCTAGGTAGTCTTTAGGGCGCAAACAGTCGTTCCATGTTCGCTCACTAGGTTCGTTGTGAACGTCCTTCTGTGGAGGAATCACTCAACTAAACTACACGCATTATTGGTTGCATGTGTTTTATGAGGCTGAGTGGTCCTAGTCTGTAGTTTTTATCTCTGAAAAGAAAGTTGGTTGGATAGCAAGATCGCATCTGGATGATTATGTGTATTGGTCTGCATGTGTATAAAATCAGTGATATTTGCTGTGTGAGAAAATCATTACTGAATATGCTGCCAATGAAGTACATCTATTGGCTGTGCCCGACAGATTATTTTTATGTTGTAATTCGACAGTGTACACTGTACAGTGAATATAATTATTTCTTATCTCTCTCATTTTAGAAATTCAGCAAATTTGTATAGGTAATTTCCAGAATGGATAAGAAAAAGTGGCTGCGCAACTAATTTCTAGCTTTGAATCTCAATTAAGTGTATTTGAGACAAGAACCCAATGTAATTATCATCAACACATACCACTTACAGCTTAGACCTCCAGTAATGCCATCACAGAAGCAGATTTTACATCACATCAGAACCAAAGATTGATAACAAGCCTCATGACGTTTAGGCAACACATACAACTAAGCGCTAAGCTAACATCTTGTAGAAAAACCTACAGCATAATGTCAAAAAAATGGGCATAATGTCACTTTTCCAGATACGTGATACCCGTGCGGAGCCGGTTAAAGTTATCAATGAAAAAACCAGTTTCTTATCAATAACCGCCCATCTCTACACAAAGCATAAAATTTGATATTGACGGGTTGCAGCAAACAGCGTTGCCAGATGAATCAGACAGAATTCTCCTAGAACAAACGCAAATATCCGCCAGAATCCTAACTTTTTCAAAAAATCCCCTAAATCACACCACGTTAATGGAAAGGGGTAGGTTTGGTTGAAAGAGTGCGGAGGGGGTCTGCTTTCTAGTTGCGAAACGTTTGAAATTGGTATTTAGAAGCGTACAGTTTTGGGTGATGATAGATTGAAATACCTCGCAGGTATCCCAAAAATACTTCAGAACAGTTTTTCCTCCAAAATCCGTCAGAACATTTTTTCCACAAGAAATTTCTGAAGGGAAAAAATACATAAAATTTGGGAAAAATCTCTCATATGGCAACCCTGGAGGAAGCAAATCACCACCACAGAACATGGAAATTTTGAACATGCAAAGGTGATTATTCGAAGTACCTGCTTTAGCATCCTAACGTTTCAAATGACAAACAGGCTGATAGACAGACAGACAGACGTCATTGTTTAAATCAGGACATTAGAAATTGTATAAGGTCTAATAGGGCACTTGAAATTGTGTGTAGGGCCAACAGGCATTGTCGTCTCCCAGTTCCGAGCTAGCAGCCGTCACGAGCATACACTTGTGCGACTGCGACCCACCCGGACATATTGAGCAATCTTATTGCAATTTTCATTGCGATAGATTGTTTGTTTGCCATCTACGATGGCAAAAATTGAGAAGCTGGCTAACCAGCTGAAAGAAAAGAAGGATGCTTTCGCCATGCTGGAAGAGCAGATGCGAAACCTGCAAGAAGCATTCTTGCAGGCCAGACAGGAGATTGAAGACCTGAGCGGGAAGCTCCGCAGGGCCAAGAAGAAGGCCGCAAAGAAGACAGGAGAAGAGGAGGAAGAGGACCACCAGGCGACATCGGACGAGATGGACGCCCAAGAAGAGGGCACTCAACAGACCGAAGGACCGAAGGAAGAAGAAGCCGAGAAGAGGACGGACGACACCGACTTCAGTGTCGCCACCAGACGGAGGAAGCGGGTGCGAGTTTCCTCCTCCGAAGAAGAAGAAGAACCCAGGCAGCGAAAGATGCCAGCTGCCACAAAGAAGAGTGGTCCTAGAGCAACCAGGACCACCGAGGCCCCCATGGCAGGAACAGGAGTTCCGCCAATCAACATCGAGGGCACCGCTGATTGGTCATCCTTGAGTAGGATGATGAACAGCAAGGGGATTCAATTCTCCAAAGCGAGGACGGCGGGTACCAGTGTGAAGGTATTCACAAATACACCAGCTGACTACCGTCAGCTAGTCGCACTGCTTGAATCCATCAAGCGGCCCTTCTTCACATATCAACTGAAGGAGGACAGGATGGACCAGAGGGTCATTCGTGGGCTTCCGAGAGAGATGTCAGTCAATGACATCAAAGAGGATCTGGTGAGCCAAGGCATCGCAGACGCCGTGGTTCAGCAGCTGACCTCAAGGACCACAAAGAAGCCACTTCCGCTCTTCCTCGTCAAGACGAAGATGCCGGAAAAGTTTGCAGAGATCCAGAGGCTGGCCATGCTCACGGTCAGCTTCGAGAGGAAGAAAAAGTCTTCCGAGCCCAGCCAGTGCTACCGCTGCCAGCGGTACGGGCACACACAGCGGAACTGCCGTCTCGCTGAACGGTGCGTTAAGTGTGGAGAGGACCACAACAGCACCAGCTGCAGTCTGCCAGCGCCGCCAACAGGGCAACGAAACGCCAAGTGTTGCCTCTGTGGAGAAGGCCACCCCGCCAACTACAAGGGATGTAGTAAGGCGCCGAAGAAAGCTGCTTCTGCCCCCAAAGCAGTCCCCACCACAAATAGGACTTCTTACGCCCAAAAAGTGAAGAAGCCTATGTCCACTTCTGCCCCAGCAGCCGCCACTGCTACTGGAACTACTGCGCAGAAGCAACACGGCGATGACAGACTGCTAGCAATGATGCAAGCCATCATAACCCGCCTGGATGCACTCGAGGCCAAGATGCAAGACAAGCACTAGACCCGAAATGTCTACAGGTCAAAACGTAGAATCTCTACGCATTATCTCCTGGAACATCAACGGTTTCAGGGCACGGAAACCAGAAATCCAGGAGATACTAGACCAGTACCAACCAGAGGTGATGGCCATCCAAGAAACGAAGTTGGATGCTGCCCATAGTCTGACGTTCCCGCGGTACGAGACGTACCGCTACGACAGAAGGGGCAGAGGTGGAGGAGTCGCATTACTCGTCAAACGTACCTTGACGAGTCATGTCCTCGACGATGCCGCAGACATAAATGGGGACGGAATCACGGTCCAGGTCCATCACAACCACCGTCCCTACAGAATCACCTCCCTATATGTGCCACCAGGGGAGGCCCTAGACGAAGATGACATCGCTGACCTCCTGAGAGGCCCAGGAGCACGCATAGTCATCGGAGATCTAAACTGCAAGTCTCCGGCTTGGAACAACAACGTCGAAGACAGGAATGCAAGGCAGCTCCAGGAACACGTCGATGCCCTGGCGGGGGTCATCGTCGGTCCGGAGCAACCAACCTACATTCCATTCGGCCTTGGGCGACCTGCGGTACTGGACATAGCCATCCTCCGCAACATCAGAGAGGAGTTCGAGATAGAGACCCTGGTGGAAGGATCGTCGGACCACAATCCGATTCTACTAACACTTGGTACAGGGTCTAGAACTCGAGATAGCTTGAGCACCAAACGGACGAACTGGAACCTTTACAAATCCAACGTCCAGAGGAACATCACTCAAATTCCAACCATCCGATCAGCGGAGGAACTGGACAACGCAGTAGAGGAGCTGGAGAATGCTGTCCTGCGAGCGCACGAGGACAGCACCCGCTCCGAGACTACGGCAGTTCCTAGATACCTAAATGGTCCAGCACCGCACCATATTAGGCACCTGATCAGGGAGAACAGAAGACTCAAGCGAGAACATCTCCAGCTGTTGACAGAGGAGTCGAGAGTTGCGCGAAACAGAGCATCGTTAGCTCTGAAGAACGCACTCGCGGAACTCCAAAACAACAGATGGAATGCAGCCTGTGCAGAACTAGAGACCCAGGATGGTACGGCCTGGTCTATGCAGCGAAAATTTCGTCGTCAGCGCACCACGATCCCCACTCTTCACGGCCAACGCGGCTTGGCCTACTCCAGTGAAGAAAAAGCCGAAGCATTCGCCGATTCGCTAGAATCCGAATGCAGACTCAATTACCATGAAGACGAGGACGACAACCACGAGGAGGTCGTGGAAGTCGCAGCCGAAAACATGAGGAGTCGACCACCTGGCCAGGAGACGGATCACCCCTCCAGTCCAGAGGAAATCCGTCTGATCATCCGCAGGTTGAAGGTCAGAAAGGCGCCGGGAAGGGACGGCATCAACAATAGGATGCTGAAGAACCTTCCCACCAAAGGCATTGCTGCGCTCACCAACATCGCCAATGCCACTCTGAGACTTAACCACTTCCCGCGGCGGTGGCGGGAAGCCCAGGTTATAATGCTCACCAAGCCAGGCAAGGACCGGAAGTTGCCCCAGAACTACCGGCCCATCAGCCTGGTTTCCTCGGTGGGCAAAGTAGTCGAAAAGGCTATCGCCGTTCGACTAGAGAAGCAGGCAGAAGAACTGCAACTTCTCCCCCCAGAGCAATTCGGCTTCAGATCCTCCCACAACACGGAACTCCAAGCGC